CCAAAGCCGACTTGCCCACCTTGTTCATTTTAGCACCCTTCTGCTTCTAATTATTACAAGTTACCTTTTGCAGGCGAAACATATAATTATTCTCCCATTTACAACGGCTTATTTCCATTTAAAGGATTACCGAAAAAGTGCTATTTTGAGATTGACTGATAACAAAGTTAACTACCAACTAATTAAAGAAGTCACACATTGCTACTTTACCTACGCGACTTCCATCTTTGTAGTATAACAAGCAGAAAATTATTTGAACGAAATTTGCACCTGCTTCCCCTTTTTAAGCAGTTTCTTAAGTACAATAAAAAGGTGAGACATATTGCTGTCTGTTCTTGGCCAAATTTTTCAGTAAGCATAGATCAAAAAGAATGAAGTAGGAATGGGAAGGAATCTTTGTTTCATATACCATTTTATATAGTAATTATCAGGTAAAAATAAAATTATTTTCCTATAAAACGATTATCCACGATTTCCTTTACAATTCTTCGTTACTCTAGGAAATAATTCTCCAAACTTGCAGGTAGACCATTATGCTTCTCTTATCTCAAATGAGGTACGGGGTCTGTAAATTAAGTGATGAGACTGTGGTAGCGGGCAATCTAGCAATCATTTATTTATTTATTTATTTAGCAACATCCAACAGCCATAGCCAATTACAGGATGGATAAATATGAAAATATAAACAAATGCATGTTGTGGATGTATGTAGAGAAAGCTAAAACGCTGCAAAAAAAACCTCAAAACAGAACTGGGAGGGAAAAAAAAGCGTTCTAGCTTTACCTACCCAGCACTCAACAATCACACCGGCAAGCATTAACGAAAATAGGCATTAATGTCTCCCAAAGTCGCACAAAACGAAAATATATCTAAAACGCTATTAACTAAATTATAATTACGGCACATTATATATATATAGGGGAAAACTTAAGTATGTCAGTCCTAGGCCTGGCTAAGTAAAAAGTTAAACTAGTTCGTGACGCTAATCTAGGAATTAAGAAGTTAAGCAGTTCTAAGATGACACTGGAGTCAATAATGCCGTGGATGAGCTTGTGAATGAACTTACGTGAATTCATTTTGCGTCTGCTCTCTAAATTATAGATTTTGTGTCTCGCCATCAACTCACTATGATGAAAGCCAATAGCGGGATATATCCCGTCAGCTTTGTATGAGAGGTATTTTAAAAACTTTCTTTGAACGGACTCTAAGCGGTCAATACATATTTGATGATGAGGATACCATACCAGGGACGCATACTCAAGCTTGGATCTTACATAAGCATAGTACAGTATTTTCACTGCAAAGGAGTTGTGGAAATCACCGGTATTTCTTACAATAAAACCATACGCCTTTGATGCAACCACAACAGCATTTTCAATGTGATAGGAGAAGGAAAGTTTTTTGTCAAATTTGACTGCCAAGTCATTAATTGTACTAGGACTGTCAAGTTTCCTGTCACCAATACTATATTCATACATCATTACCCCAGTTTTTAAAGTAAACGACAAACCGTGACACTTAGCAGCATTCAAAACAAGTCTGTTTTCACGACACCAGTTGTCAACTCTTGCAATGTTGCGTTGCAAGCGATGACAATCGTCAATGTTGGAGACTCTACAGAAAAGTTTCATATCGTCAGCATATATAAGAAAATCGACATCGATAACTTCAGAAATAGCATTTATGAACATAATAAATAACAGAGGTCCCAGATTAGTTCCTTGAGGAACACCGGACATTACAGGGTATTCGCTTGACTTATATCCATTGCGCATAACATATTGTTTCCTATGACATAAATAAGATCTGAAAAATAGCAACAATGCAACTGAAAGACCAAATCTAGATAACTTATTGAGTAGAATGTTATGGTCTAAACTATCAAACGCTTTAGAGAAATCAGTATATATTACATCCGTTTAAAGTTGTCTATCGATTGATTCACAAACATATTCAGTAAGATGTAGCAAGTTAGTAACTGTGCAACTGCCCTTCATGAAACCATGTTGACTGATGGAGATAGACCTGCTTACATGAAAATATAGCACAGTTTGTATCACTATTTCGAATGTTTTAGCGAAATTACTGATAATTGTGATAGCCCGATAGTTTTCTACATAATTCCTCTCACCTTTTTTAAAAACAGGAGTTACCCTAGACAACTTCCAAATAGATGGAAAGTGATTATTTTTCAGAGAGATATTGAAAATGATCATGAGTGGATATGCTAAAATGGACGCACAATCTCTCACAAAAAATGCAGCTATTTGATCAGGCGCTGCAGTCATTTTTGGCTTTATTTTCTTGAGCGCCTGTAGCACATCGATTTCCTATGCATAGCTAGTGTAGTACTGAAATGGTATTCAGTAGAAAAATTAGATTGAGCTGTTGGAGTATTATAGCTCCCACTAGTGTTCCGCAAATGCGCCAACAACATCATTAGGTGTATTCAATCCCAGCTCATTGTACAGCATATCCTTCGGAATACCAGTGCAGGTTCTTTTTCTATTAACAAAAGACCAGAATTTGCCGGAGCTGTTGGATATTTCACACTCTAAAGAGTGAATGTAGCGACGATATGAAACAGCTATATGTTGCTTTATCTCTGAGCGAAGTCTTATAAATTTTTCTATATAATAAGTATCACCAGTGCGGCTGAAAGTCTTGAATGCCACCATTTTTTGTTTGAGGGTTCTGATGATATGGCTGTTGTACCAAGGAGGATACCTATTATTATAAGATATTCTAACTTTAGGAACACAACAATCAAGAAATCTATAGATCTCAAAATAGAAATATTCACAAGCTGAATCAACGTCACTAAAATTTTCAAATCGCCCCAGCTAATATTCACAATAATTTCATAGAGCAGCTGAAAATCAGCTTTCCTAAAATTATATGAACCTTTAAAGTCGCTATGCAACACGTTATTATGTTTGGTGGAAGGAAAATGACTCACAGTGACTATCAATGCAGGATGATGGGGATCCTCACACACTAACGCATCATCAGCATGTTCAACATAGCAAATGACATCGCTCCAAATTAAATCTAGCAAATTTCCACTGTCATTGTGTACGTAATTATACTGAATGACATTGAAAAATCTTGCTAAAACATTTAAAGTGTTTATGTAACTATTTGAGATACTATTTTCAAGATAATCAGCATATGATGTTATATTAAAGTCCCCAACAATGAAAATACTGCCAGTATGTAAAAACGCTAGACTATGTATCGCTACCAACAAGATTTCATAGTCGGTAACGGTTACCTGAGGAGGTATGTACAGATTAATCACATATATTTTGGATTAATGGACACTGACTTTAATTACTAAAATATCTATCTTTGGACTGACCTGGTTGAAAGGTGGGTACACATCAATGGCAGATGACTTATATTCACTCCTAACAGCAACAGCCACTCCTACACCTTTCCTCAAATTCACTGCTGAAAACTTACGATCAGATCTGTAAACTGAATAATTATTCGGAAAACCTCACAATCATTGAATCAGTATCAAGCCACGTTTCTGTCAGTGTTATCAAAGAGCAATAGTCTTGTTGAGAAATAGAGTTGAATGTTTCATTAGTTTTAGAACGCAAACCACGAGTGTTTTGATAATAAATAATAAAGTCTTTATCTCTTTCAGCATCGTGATCATGACTATCTAGGCCTGAAGCAGTAGCTAGTTGCTATCATGGCGGCGCTGGGCTTGGAAGGGGGACAGGGGAACATGTGATCCGCGCTCAGTACAAGTTTGAACTTGCTGTAATCGTTTGGTTGTCCGTAGCGATACTCTCTTTGTGAAATAGTTTTTCCCTGTTGTACTCTAAAAATGAATGACATAAATTTCGAGCAACTGTGTGCTATCAGATTTTGCTTCAGACTTGAACACAGTGCAACGGAAACTCTTCCTAAAGTTCAGAAGGCATACATCGATAGCGTTTTGTCAAGACCCCAGGCGGTTTAATCCATTTTCAGAAGAAAGAGAGTCGTTTAAAGATGAACCACGAAGCGTAAGGCCTTCTTGAGAAGTGCAATTATGTCGATTTTTTTTACGTTTTATTGTTTTTTGTGACATTATGTGTTTTTATACAAGATATTAACTTAGTACTGCTGATGGACACGTTCGGAACTCGTTTTGTGGTTTTAGTTTTTTTTTATACTCCAACTACCACGAAGGACTGAGGCCTAAACACCCATTGGGTACTCTGGGGCTATACAGAGAAAGGGGGAACGCCACACGGACTCTGGCGAGGGAACGCGTGTTTGTGCTTGCAACAAGCACACATTCTGGCTCCGCCTACGAGATCCGCAGGGTGGTACCTCCGCGTTCGACAGTCAGAGACCGTCTACCACCGACGGATAATCACAACATCCAGAGCCAAGAGAAACATTTTTCTTGAAATGGGATTCGAACCCGCACAGCGCACGGCGACTGATCAGGAGACCGAAGAGTCTACTACTGCGGCCACCGCTGCTGCCTAAATTAAGCGTGTTGCCTAAACGTCAAGAAGCTTTAGTTTCCAATGTTTGGCTCTGATGTGATGTAAAATCTGCTTCAGAGATGGCATTACTGGAGTTCTAAGCTGTAAGTTGTAGACACTAGCTAGAAGGAAACGGCAACGCATAGGTGCATAGTGAGGGTGGTGATTGATGATAATTCCATTGGATTCTTGTCCCAAATACACTTACATGAGATTCAAAGTTAGAAATGAGATGAGCATCCACTTTTCTTATCCATTCTGGAAATTACATATGATATATATCATACGTTTCCGAACACGTGTTGGAATGCGCTGTATCTGGTGCAGCTTGAGTAGCGTATGCATTGTTGATCAGGCCTACTGTTCTTAACTTTGGCTTCATCATCATGAGTAAATGTCTGATGTGTCCTGACAAGAGACCTAGTCTGTTGAAGAATGCTGTTCAATGTAAATTTTGCTCTATATATTATCATAAGTCATGTGGTAACAGGGCAAAGTTGTTGCCTGATGGAAGTTATAATTACTGTTGTGGTTCATGATGAAGATTTTGCTGGACTAGATCCTGGATTTCAACTTATTTTGAAAAGGCTTGACAAAGTAGATGCGTCATTGAGTGCAATTAAGTCGGATATTCAATCCTCCAGCAACAAGCTAACAGAACTTGAAAAAAACGTTGATACACTTGAAGAGATTGTTACTGGTGAGTCTTTATATGATGAAGTGAAGGATAGGATGAATAGAGAGAAGAACTTTATTATATATAACTTTGATGGCTCAGTGAACGCAGCTGCTACTGATTCTGTGAAAATAAAGAAATTGCTCGAGGATACAATGCTTGTTATTCCATTTAACTTTGATGATCTTAAAGTTTTTCGACTTGGACGTGATTTTGTTGAAGGAAAGAATAGATTAGTCAAAGTTGTTATGAAATCATCTGATAATGTACACTGGATTTATCGTCATAGTAGTGAAATTTTTAAAAATAATGTTTTTGTCAGTAGTGATCTTACAAAAAATGCAAAAACTTAAAAATGAAGTGACGCATAGATCTCACAAGGGAGAAGAGGATTTAAAAATTAAACATATCAGAGGTAAACCAACGATTGTTAAATCTATTGTTGCTGATAATCAATTAAATGAAAATGATGAAGATACTGAGTGACTATAGATAGTAAGGTGTCCTCCTCGTTGCGAAACAAGATCTGTGCGCGACTCCAAAGAAATACTGCCTCATACGATCAATCCTCCACCCAAAATTGTACTCTAGGAGCGAAACAACTTTAAGCATAGCGTTCTCCACACCTTCTCCATACTCTTTGGCGACCATCGGGTGAATATCTCGTAAAACGAGACTCGTCTGTAAAAAGAACGTTTTTCCAGTCGTCCATATCCCAATCTTCATGAGTTCGAGAAAATACCAAGCGCTGCCTTCGACGACCTACATCCAATAGATGACCTGTAGCAGGTACACAAGATGATAGGTTTCCTTCTCTCAACCTCCGGCGTACGGTATCAGGTACCATGAACATCATCCAATCTTCGAGTCATAGCTGTAGCAGGAAGTGTCTTTCTCGAAGAGCTTGACGTCTCAGAAACCGATCTTCAACTGCGTTTGTTGCTTTCCGTCTTCCCTGCCTAGGTCTCCTGGCGTAAGAACCAGTTTCTCTAAATCTTTGTATCACATCGTGGAGGGCAAGCGTTTCTGCGATACACCGAATAGGACGACCATCATCTTGTTGAGATACAGCTTGCGCTACTTGTTCCGGTGACATTTTTGTTGAGTATTGCTTGACAAGAACCTTTGTAACATGCCATAAAAATGCTGACACAGTCTACTTGAAACAATTTCTTACCTAATTGAGATATTGACTTGAATCAAAAAAGAACTGTTGAGAAAAGTAAAAGTTGAGGCTTGAAATTCCCATACGAAGACACATTATTCAGTAATCCAGGGTGTTCAGAAATTTATTGCGAAATGCACCTTTTAGTTACACTGTGCTTAACAACAAACATTTTCAATTTTTTTGCAATATCGACAGTCGATAATGATGATGAAATTACCTACAACTTGACAAACAAATTAACGAAATTGATGCAAAGGTTAAAAAGTTATTTAAAATTTAATTTGAACAAAATTTTGTTTGTCCGGTTAATTTTGCGTGGCAGTGTATACTTTATCTGAAGTCACTTGAAATAGCATAAAAACCTTTGGTCGGCGCGTCCTTTGTAATTTCATGACGTATCATAGGCGTGCGGTCATTTATTTAGAACGATAATAATAATGTTTTTATATCACAATAAATGGATTTTACTATCTTCTTATTTTTTTGATTTGGGATAAAAAATACTTATATTGGGAGTTTAATTTATGTTGACTGAAAGTTAAGAAATGGAAAAATTACAGAATTCCAACGTTTGACATAGGCAAATATTTACATAGCAGGTAGGTATATAAAAAGGTATATAAAGACTTACATTATAGGTATTTATATATCATCCTTGCCTTCGGAGCTGTCGCTAGAGTCATCTTGTAGAGGAATTACAACGGGATTTACAGGAGGCAAAACACAATATTCATTTTCTTTTTCAATAATATGCCTAGAATACTGCTGCCATAGGTCTGTGGCAGCGATATGAGATACTGCATCTCTTATTGTGGCCAATAGCGATTCACTTAATTGAGGGGTCTGATTATGTTTTCTTACTTTTTTTTTAAAGCAGCCCAGACCAACTCAATCGGGTTAAAAATGCAGTAATAGGGAGGTAGACGTAACACTTCATGGCCATTTTGCTGAAGCAGATTGTCAACAACATACTCTTTTTCAAATTTTTGTCTTTTAATAAAATCCAATAATATGGCTTTGGTTGATTTTTGTGGTATTTCCATTCCCTTATCCTTCATAAAATCAATAATGTCTTGTTTTTTGTGCCTGTATTCGGAATTTTGTTTTTCTGTCGGGAATGGTATGGCGCATTGTCCATAATAATCACTGAATTTGGGGAAATGTTTGGTATTAACTGCTGCTCTATCCACTTTTCAAATAAGTCGGAGGTCATGTCCTCATGATAGTCGGCACATGATTCTTTGATATTTTTGGCAGATAACAGCAAGGCATTAGGTATAAATCCATTTTCACTGCCAGCATGGAGAATAATGATTCGTTTTCCACGGTTGCATGGTGCATTTAAAATGCACTTGTTGCTGTCGTCAACCCAGCCGTACTGCACAACATCATGGGTATCATACCACGTTTCATCCAGGTAAATCAGATTTCTTTTCTGCTCTCTATAGATTTTAACTTTGTGCAAAAATTCTTGGCGCAATTCAACGATTCGAGACGACTTCATAATCACCATTCTTTTATCTATTTTTTGTATTGAAAACCACACAGTTTTACAATACAGTGCAGTGAGTCTAAGCATTTGTAATTATAAAAATCTTCAGGATAATCTTTTAATTTATCCCGTATCATTTCCAACGTGGGCACCAAATTTTCTTTATAAAATCCGTATATTATACGACGAATATCTTCCTGAAAACCCACGTCTATTCTTTTTAATTTTTGCCCTATGCGCTTTCTGTGGAAGGAATGGTTGACTACATCTCCCCTTTTTATAACCCGATAAATGGTAGACCGACTGATTTTTGTCAGGATACAAATTCTGTTTAAAGTTTGATTTTGCGAGGAATCTGGATTTTCGTTTTTCAGACAATCATACATATTTAGGATTACTCTTTGGGTCTGTTCCTCTAAATCTTTATGAAAGAATTCTGCCTGCACAGGTTCATCAACCATCTCCTCGTGGCTTGGAGCATTTTCCCAAGGTCTCCAAAGAGCCATATTTAGGACACACAAGAACAATCAACACAACAATTAAATCAACAAGTAAACTGAGTATTCAAAAGTCAAAAACACACAAACTAATAAAATCTATGAAAAAACACGGACAGACTAAAGAAAACACGTTTATTCACCGCTACACGGCACTGGCTAAACTGTTTCAATTTTCAGTAGCCACCTGCACTTGTTCGGAGCTCTGAAATACACGCTTTCTCATTGGCTATGTCCACGCATAGGCGTGCTTTACTCTACGTGGACCGGTGAAACTGCCTTTGATCTTATACGGGGGATATTTGCTGCGAAATTTGGCGATTTTTGCAGCAACAGAGCGTGTTAAATATAGATATATAAAACGCACCCGGTATTTCACAGTGTTTCAAGTGACTTCAGATAAAGTATACTTCATTGGCAGCATATTCAGTAATGATTTTCTTACACATCAAATATCACTGATTCTATACACATGCAGATCAATACACATAATCATCCAGTTGCGATCTTGCTATTCAACCAACTTTCTTATCATCGATCCTAGTGAGCAAACGTGGAATGATGTTTGTGAGACAATCATCGACGTATTGAAGAATTGTTTAAACATTTTTATGCACCTTTGTGCTTAAACCACAGATTATACAGATGCGACACCTGCTGTCGGTCCCTTTGATCTTCGTGTCCCCAACAGCTTTCCACATTTCCCGCTTATGTTCATTACCGCCCGGAGGATTTTTCCCTAGGGCGGCTTATTACCAAGATGTCACAAACGTCAGATGTCAAACAACATAATCAAGAAACTTATTTGTGTTCTTTTACCCACATTCATTTTGAAGAGATAGTAATTATTATTTCTTGAAAAGTCGTTTATATATTTACCTATACATAGTATTGATAAAACTCAATGTTTTTCATAGCCCCTAAATCCTAAATGTCATAGCAACACGAATCCCACCAAACGCATAGGACTCTAGTTGGCGTTGATAGAACCTGATTATTGACAGAGTGTCGCCTCTGCTTATTACCATATAACCAAAAACCGACAACTAATGGTCAGTATAAAATACCTGTGGTTCATCAGCCTCCTTATTCTCCTAACTTGAGTCCTTGTGACTGTTTTCTCTTCCCGAAGTTAAGAAATCACCTCAAGGGAACTTATTTTGAGACAGTCGAAAACATTCAAACGGCTGTAACCAATCAGCTGAAGGGTATTCCAGTATAGGAGTCCCAGCACTACCATGAAGAGTAGAAGAACCGTCTCCAGCGCTGTGTGGCTTCAGAAGTAAGTTATTTTGAGGGTAAGCGTCCCAGACGGAACAAAAGAATCTCAAGGGTATTTTTTCCGCTGTACAAGATGTAAAAGTAGTAATGCGATGACCAAGCCTGGTAACTGAGCGATCTATGACTGTACCACTCCACAAGCCATCTAGTGGATATTGAATGAACTAGCTCCAGGATGAGGATCCATGCCGATATTGCCTGATCCGGTGCGTAATATAGAAAGCTCAACATCTAGTTCAAGCTCTTTAAGAGGTAATATTGTAATATTCTTTAACACTCATCATATCGGTAAGTCCGAAAAGAACCATAAAGGTTAGATTGTCTTTAATCTACTAGGAGAATATATAGAACTTAACGAGCATGCCAACGGAAGAGCTCTAGTTGTCGGATTTTCAGAGGCAAGATAGAACTTCTTCCAGTATCTTTTGTGATCCACCACTCCAAAATTCTGGAAAAAAACATAAGGAAATTAAGGCTAAATGTTATAGGTATACACCACTTGAGACGTTGGATAATTAAATGTTGAAATACACCCCCCCACAAGACGTATGACATGCTCCTCCCTAGAAGACAAGTTCTGTATACGCCACTGCTAGAGACAATGGCTCTAGTGATACAATGTAGCTCTTCTATAACAGTAGCTTATTAGAAGACTATCTACAGCGTCATGGCTTTCTAGAGAGTCTAACGACTCTCTGCTTGTTGGAGCAAAGATCTCTACCGCTCAGATTTCTTTGCCTGTGCTTGAATTTCCTGTTGCAACTCCAGCTACGTGCATAATGCTTGTGTGATATTATTGAATCATATCGAATATGTCTGAAATCCTCCGGAAGTCCCATTTTTCCTGGTACCAAGTGGAAGTCACCCAAATAGACTTCCTTACCTTTGACCATCTGTGGTGAAACGAAAATGTAC